TCGCCTGAAGAAGACTAGCAGTAAGCAGTCGAAACGTCGCGATCTACATCTCAAGTGACTACATCGTGAGACAAACGATAATACACTTTATTATTAGAGGGAAATGGTTAGGAAGGCCGGTAAACATCAAAGAAGCAAAGAAACAGGCTAGGATGTCCTTGACCCTGCACATCTTTTGTTTTATGCTCGTCGCTTATGCATGAATTACTTGATCACAATGCTTCTATTGATTTGTTGTCTGAGCACACATAACCACCTTTTGTATTCTGCCAGGTTTTGTGTAGGGTCAGCCCCCAAAATAGTAAACAAAAACATACAACAAAGACCTTTGCCGGGTTTCCTAACCATTTCCCTCCATTAACTATGTGATTTATGTATTATCATGTACATGTACATTGTACTGCAGCATAAAAGAAATCAATATTTACCTTCATAGTTTATTTGTCCTTGATTATCCTCCAAACCACTAAGGAGCAAGTCAACTTCCTCTTCAGTCATTTTTTCTCCTTAAGAAAATAAAATGCTGTTAATGCCAGCTCTCAGTGAATTTCACGAGCTTATTATCAATATTGCCGAGGAAGCAATGTGGCTAATGAGACTGCTCATTTCTAGCAATGTGACCTTACTGGCCTGGTCTAAAGCTGGAGCCCCATCTTCCATGCATATGAGGAGGTGTCATGGAGGTGTCCTACCAGGCTGGAATCTGGATTAAGTGGTCCAGGTTCGAGCACTGGCTGGGGTCATTGCCTTGTACTCTTGCCACCTTAGACTATAAATGGGTACCTATGCAACAAATTTAATGCTGGTGGTAACCCTGCAATGGACTGGCATCACATACAGAAGGGATAGAAATACTCACCTAGTTGCTTAATGCTACATACCCAGGATAAACTTCGGCTGGTATGGGCTGTTTGGCCAGACACAGTCATTACATTACCAAATAAATATTGTATGTCTAGATTAGGATAGGCAGTGAGCAGTCATTGCAACAAATTCTTCTATTTACGCTTTTTAAGTGGACAAAACCCAACAACAACATTACAAAGTGCTATTAAAGATGCACTGTACTATATTGCACGCTATGAGGAAATTAAATATTAAGTTACAGACGGACCATTATTATTTTGAGTAGAGGGGGGTAAACAATTTCAAAAAAAAAATCCTACACAGCAAAAAGTGCTCAAAAAAATTGAGCATTCCAAGTGCTTTCTACTAGTCAGGTCCTGTGCTTGACTTCAATAACTCCTGCACAAGCTATTGCCCACCAAAAAAATCATGCACAACCAAAAGGTGAGAAAAAAATTTAATGCCCTAGGAAATTGCCCAATCCCCATACCCCACCCCATCAAAAAAAAAAAATAATGGTCTGTCTCTTATTTCTACATTGATGAGATTGATGATTTGCACACTGGGCCACACAGTTTTGTAGTATCCTTGAAAATCTTATTTCCCCCAACACATCCACAATAATTATGGTGTATATGTAAGGCAAGATCAGAGTGAATATTTAGAACATAGACTGCATTGAGAAGGGAAAAAAAGGAATCCAACCTAATCCTGTTAGCACATGACGCAACTCAGCAGCAGATATCTGGCCACTACCATCTCTGTCAAAGACTCGTAGGCCATCCACAAAACCCTCATTGGAACTTAGGGTGGGTTTTCTTTGACCAAAGGACAGGAATATAGGCAAAAACTCTTCAAAAGAGATGCGCTTAGAACCTAAAGAGGGAGATTTAAAAGTAAATGTATTTGCAGTGCAGTGTATGATACAAAAGAGCAAAACAAATTAGAGATACCAAGATGCCAGGCTATCAAAAATACTACGAAAAATATATCTCAGTTTTGAAAAAATGAGCATGCACACTGATTGCTCAAAATTTTCAGAATGGCCTTCGTTACTACTGTATGTTCATTGTACTTCTTAAACAGGGAAATTCTTGTTAGAAGTAACAAACCCATTTTGTACTGCATCAATTTGAACTCAGCAGGTCAGTCTCAATCAGTTTTTGAAAACTAAAACCACTCACTAAATTTCATAACTAGCCAGCATCACAGGTGAACTCAACCACATTGTCATGCTAACCAGCAACCAAATGAGGTTTCTGGATTACAGATGGACTTAACAGGTGAAGGTCATCTGTGACAAAGGTAGCTATCTTGTACCCTTGTCCCAGAGGTTTTTCTTGATTTTTCTCCGCATGAGAGAGCTGCGAGAGAGCCGCGAAGCGGTGAAAACACGAGTCGCAAAGCTTGAATCTCACTTTCATGCAGACGCCAGTGTCAGGATCTGACCCTCAGGCTTGGATTGGCTGGTATTTTTACAAACACGCAAATCAATATGATTGGTTCGTTTGATTAGTAATACCGAGGGGATGGAGGGGATATCTGTCACTGCACTTCTTGAGGTAAATTTTGCCTGCCTACCAGGGAAGGAATTTGTTTGCAAAATACTTCAGTTCTCAGTTTATACA